TAGCTGACCAAGATTCACGCACACTTCTGGACCCTTCTTCAACCAAGAACAAGTAGTTTGAAGAGCGACTTAGAATCAGACCACAGAAATAAGTTTTTTTTTTTTCGACTTTCGTCCAAAGACACACCGAAACACAAATTTCTTAGAGAGCAGACAACTTGAAGCCTTAAAGTTGCCTAGTAAAAGCGTCGTGCCGCAATCCACAGAACGGGTCGGGAAGTAGACATAGTCCTATGTACCGAGCAAATAGACATAAAAAGTTTGTTACCTTTTTCTTTGATACGTTGGACCTTGTGAGTTTTTATTTTATTTCTTTTTTATTATACATAATTGTGTATTATCACCCCCGTTAGACTCAACTTGCATTACGGCCCCAACCCCTGTTTGATCTCGTCTGTCTAAGATCAATTCACAACGTGGGTAGGCAGACTGGAGATCAGTGCAGTTATCCTGATAACCAGGCGTTGGAAGCGGGTTGGGAACGACAAGGCTGGTATCAATCTAACCAAAGGGTTAGAACGTCACGTTTGGAGCAGCGAGGAGCGAACAGCTGACGCCGCGCAAAGACGTCACAGTTGGTGCTGTCCGTGACCAGGATATCAGAGCCTGGGGAGCACGTGACGTCACAATTGGCGCCGCGACCGGGATCGAACGACACAGTCGACGCTGCGACCGGGGGACGACGTCACATATATATATTCCATGTACTTACGGAGCAAATGTTCTTTAAACAAATAATATTGAAAACAGCAGAATCTGATGTCGATTAATTTTAATGAATTTTCTTCCAACTTCTCAAATAAGGAGGAAATTGTCCAAAGTTCAGAAGAAAGGGTAAAAGAAAAAAAAGACCCTCCGACATTTACTTAGAAGAATTCTTGACATAATTTCCTCCTTGTTTGAGAATGAGTATTCGTAATTTATAAAAGACGAATCTTAAAATTAATCGACATAAAATGTCTGTGGTTTTCAATATATATATATATATATATATATATATATATATATTATATATCGGGAAAAGTTTATAATTGTTCCAACGAGAGACAAATGTATATTTTAAAAAAAGAGAGAAACTGCAAACGTTTTCGGTTATAATGTTGATTTGTTTTAAAATTATATATTATATTTTATTCTTCGTATTTTTGCTACAAGTGTTTTCGATCTCTTCACGTTCACCAGACTAATTAAAGGAATCAGTTTTTAAACTAATAATTTTTACTTATGTTCTCTTAATGTTATTAAAGTAACATTTGTCACTCCAGAGTTTCATAGTTGGACCAGTCCTTATATTCTTTAGTGGGTATTAATAATGTATTGCTTATATTTTTTTCGATTTTTTCTATTCTCTGCTCTTAGCATTGGTGTAAGTTTGTTCTGTATTGTTTGTGTTCGGGTGTGCGTTTGCGCGTGTGCGAAAATGCGCCTGTCTTTGCGGATGTGCGATCGCGCCCGTGTAGGGTGTGGTAATAATTTCTTTTTTTTTCTTTTTTTCCCGTTATACTCGCCCTTTAGCTTTTTCTCTTTTTATTTCCTTTTTCTTCTTTTCTTTCGATAATTGCCATTTGTGGAGAATTATTTCATTATCTAGACATGCAACCGTTTTTAATTTGTGAGCATTCTAGTTTTTCTATATTTGGGGGGCTCGACAAGTATTTCGTTTTTTATATAAATAATTGATATCAATGCTTAAATGATATATGATATATATATATATATATATATATATATATATATATATATATATATATATATATATATATATATGATTAAATGATAAGTCAACTTAAGCCTACGTTTTTAGGGCAACATGATTTCCCAAGACATCAGACCATATGTGCCTGACGACTTGGGAAAGCATGAAACTTGCCTTACAAACGTAGGTATACGGTTATTTTCTAAACGTAGCTTAGATATGGCACAAGGTCGAAAATATGAGCCACATAGTGAGGATCGAATTCAGTTTTTAATCGTAACTGATCTAGCGAGACAAGCTTGCTAGTCATTACACCACGTCGAGATGTGCATTTATTAATATATTCGTCATAGCTCTGTTTAACTACAGTGAGCACTGTTTTGTTTGTACAATAAATTAAATTAATTAAATATTTATTGGCATATATGCGTATGCACGCTATCGCACCCATATGCAATTGCTAATATCTCGTTATTTAGTTTATATTCACACTTATATCTCTCTTTCTCTTTCTCTTTCTTTCTCTCTCTCTCCCCTCTCTCTCTCTCTATATATATATATATATATATATATATATATATATATATATATAATTGAACAAAAAAAATATTAAAAATTAAAATCTTTAGACATACTGGGTTGTAGATTAATATTCTTTCGTTTTTTTTTTTTATTATTTCATTTAGATTCCTCGACTAGTTTCGACCAAAATGGCCATCATCGGGAGGAGAAATATTTCTGCTTGCTGGTAGCAGTAAAATGAATGTTTTGCTGAAGAAAATGAACTTTTGTCTGTAGTTTTCATTAGTTTTTTTTTTAGTTTTTTATCTTTTTAACATGAATCTTTTAACAATCCTTGTGTTGGTCAAACAGTCGCTTTTAAGTTGTTATTTGAGATAAGAGCTGGATAGATACATGCTACTCTGAATTGCCTGGTCAGTTTGACAGTTTTATTGGACCTGGTGAGGGGATGTGTCTCTGTTTAGTGTTTGAGTGTGTTATTTGGTTCTTAGGGAGTGAGTGAGTATGATATGTGTAAGCGTGTGTATTGCTGTGGGTGTGTGTTATCATTTGGCTCATTAGGGAGTGAGTGAGTATGATGTGTGTAAGTGTGTATATTCGTATATATATATATATATATATATATATATATGCACATACATATATACATATATATCTTCACTTGGCTTCTATTTCACTATCTACAGTATATACTCTCGCACACCCACGCATGAACCCGCACGTACGCTACACGCATGCATATATACGTAATTATTAAATAGTGTATATGTATTAAAGTAAGTATTTACTTATATCAAATATTATTTATCTAATATTTCATGTTTGTTTAATGGTTAGTAGTTTGTTTTTAACTTCATGTTATACATTGACGTATTAATTATGGTGGTAGGTTTGTTCGTTTGTAGGTGTTTGTGTGAGTGTATGTATATATTTATGTGTTTCTTTAACATTTGTTCGTTTATTTATTTATTAAAAATTGATTTTTTAAGTTTATATTATATTTATTTATTTCAAGTTTATATTACATTTATTTCATTTATTTATTTATAACTAATATTATATTTAAATTTATTTATCTTTATTTGATTATTTTCATTTAGTGCTTGGAGGGCAAAGTAAGTATTTATTTATATTTTTACATTTACCTATTGTTTCAGTTTTCGTGTTTAAGTGTTTATTTTGGTTTTCAATAATAATTATTTTTTTCTCTAAGCATAATTTATAATTTTTACTGTTAACACTGTATGAAGCTGATATTTTTAATTTCCCATTTAATTTTGGTGGGATATTGAGGAGGCACGGTGATGTAATGGATACCGGCTCGGATTGAGGAATCAGAGAGCCGAATTCGAATTCCAGTTCACTTAATATTCTTGGGAAAGGTATGAATCCCCTTCTCTCTCCAGCTATTCTACCGCAGAAGGAAATGGTAGCCTAATGCGTGAAAAATTCTGCCTCGTCAGTTATGTATCAAAAGATACATGATCGCCTAAGCGAGTATCAAGCATGGCACATAACTGAACCGATGTATTTTGATACGGTTGAATTGTTTGTGCATTTTTTCTTTCGAATGACATTTTGCGTTTATAATATCTTTCTTTAAATGTTTTTTTTTTTTTTTTTTACCTGTGGCGCATATATAAATATTTTCGTCTCTGTTAATGTTATTAGTTACGATCGCTTTGTATATTATGTTATGGTTATTTGTTTGAATACGTTAGGGGGGGTTGTTGAACTTTGTTAATATATATTAGGTTGGTATTTGGTTATCTGTATGCTTCGTAGTTTCCGCTGCTTAGGTTAAGAAATTTACTGTTTTTGATTGGATTTTATATCTATTGTAAATCGTAGGTTTTTGAATGTTTTTATTATTTCATTTCTTATTTTTTCTGTAGTTCTGCCGTTGAATTTTCTTAGAATTAATAGACCGTCGTCCCTATATAAACCATTTCTTTTTTGTTAATAATATCTTTTAATGTAGTGATTATGTATATGCCTATACGTTTGCATCATGCACCATCATAGATACCCAATGTTATATCAAAGTTATTATTATTATGGGCGTTTTTCTCTATATTTTTTATTGTGGTATATATATATATATATATATATATATATATGTGTGTGTGTGTGTGTGTGTGTGTGAGTGTGTGTGTGTCTGCGCGCAAGCGCGTGCGTGTGTGTACAATATTGCGCCAAACGTCGTTAATATCCCCTTGACATTATAGTACGTCAGTTCATTTATCCTTTGCATACTGCCCTGTGCTTTATGTTAATGTGCATATATAGGCATAAACAGATATGAAATATTTATATAGATAGGCCTATATCTAAATATATATTTGTTTTAGTCCTTATGCAATTTAATAATTTTTTGTATTCTATGACTGTACGCACTCCTACATGCACAGACACACACACACTCACGTACACACGCAGGCGCGCGAGTAAACACACACACACACATATTTATATTTATATTTCGGATTTTATTTTCATTCCTTTTATTGGCTTGTCAACAAATATCAGTCCTCTATTCACTCATGTGTTAGCAATGGTGACATACAACAAATATCCGGGGTTCTGTACTGTGTCTCCATTTTGGAAACTATTCTTTCTTTGCTTATTCATGCTGTCTACTTCCGCCATTACCAACCATTAGTAGTCTTGGATCTTTGTCACCCTTTTATGATTCTCTTTCAATAATCATTATTAATATATCATTTTTTTTATGTTATAACATTAACCTTACTCACATTTTTCCACGTCTCTTTCCTCTTAGTTTCCTTCTTCTTCTTCTTCTTCTTCTTCTTCTTCTTCTTCGCCTTCTTATTTTTCTTCTTCTTATTTTTCTTCTTATTATTGTCAATATTATCATTATGATTCTTTTTTTATTTTTCTTCTTATTTATCTTTTTATTATTATTAATATTATTATTATGCTTATGATTTTTTTATTATTTTTCTTCTTATTATTATTATTATGATTCTTTTCTTCTTGTTGTTGGTGTTGTTGTTGTTCTTCTTCTTCTACTTCTTCTTCTTCTGTACCGTCGGATTATTGTTATTATTGAACGCGAGAGAAGCACACGAAAAAGACGCTGTGGTACAAATGTCGTTTCTTATGGCTGACCACTCGTATCCGAGGATCCCTGTCTAGTAGGGCGGCTAGCTAAACCATTTTACATACGCATGCTCTAGTACAGAAACCACCTGTGGTTTATACTGCAGCTATGCTAAGCGGATCTTAGTTACAGTTTCTGGGAGATAGTGCATTATCCTGCGCGCTCAACAGCCTGAACAAGACCGGCACGCTCAAACCCTCGGCCACGATGACTTGTGATTTCGTGTTAGCATTGACGGCTCTCAAATAGTTCCGTCCACTAAATCTCAAATAGTTGCAATTTCATTCAACACGTGGTATGGTTTTCAAGCGCTTTCCAAAATGCCACACGCTAGGATTGCCTACTCCAGACCGATAACATCAAGAAGCCACCTTCCGGACACATCGACGTTGGCGGCATTCGGCACGCATGATCGGAAATCGAACGTTCTCACTACTTGGCCAAACATACGAAGCAGAATATAACCATCATATCACTCAGTCTTGCCACCACAAAGTGGTTAGAAAGCTTGCCTCGTTCGCTGCTCACTGGGTGCCTCATACATTCGGCCTTGTGCCACATCTAAGCTACGCTTAGAAAACCAACATCATATCACTCAGTCTGATGAGTGTATACAAGGCACCTGTACCACAGCCTAAGTGTACGCTTCAACGAGAGAAGTCTTGATAAAAGCGGTGATAAAACTGCAGGTGGGGTCCAGTTTTCAGACCCTTTAACCCACTCCACTAAGACGGTCTTCGATTAAGGGTGTTCCCAAATATCTAGATGGGATTCCCAAGTCGGTTGCCGCATCCTTCAGGCTTATAAAACATCACGGCACCCATACATGATGCTCTCGTTCATGAACGCAGATGTGCAGTAAGGGACGTATCCAAGTGGTTATGGTCAGGGAACTGACATGCAAGTCTGTTGTAGTGAACAGGTATTTACTGTAGCCAATTTTATTTTTACGAAAAATTTTACAAGCTCGTCTTATCAATTATTTTCTCAAATTAATTTTTCAATCAATTGTTCTACGGGATAAATCGTTCCTTCGTTAATTTGGTGACATAGTGGTTATGAGTTCAATCCTTGGGTCCGGTAATGTTTATTTGGAATCAGTAGAGCATTAACTGAGTAATACTATAAAGAATAATTCGACAATATCACAAGACATGGGAAGCGGAATGAGAACACAGTATTCCTGTAGATTAATAAATGAGTTCAGTTCGGGATTACTTGTAGGTTATTCGGATCGATATACACCTGAGGAAGGCCGGGTGGTAAAACGGTCGAAACATTGTGCTAACAACAAAAATATTTCTAACTGGATCCCCCCCCACTACAGTTTTATGCTCCACATTTTTCAAGACTTCTCCCGTTAAAGTTAGGCTGTGGTACAAGTGCCTTGTATACACTCATCAGATTGAGTGATATGATGGTGTTTTTCTAAGCGTAGCTTAGATGTGACACAAAGCCGAATGTATGAGGCTCCCAGTGAGCAGCGAACGAGGCAAGTTTGCTAACCACGTTGTGGTGGCAAGACTGAGTGACATGATGAGTGTATTCTGCCTCGTATGTTTGACCGAGTAGTGAGAACGTTCGCTTTCCGACCATGTGACCCGAATCCCTCCAGGGTCGATTTCTTAGGAAGGTGACTTCTTGATGTTATCGGTCTGGAGGAGGCGATCCTCACATGTGGCACCTTTGGAAAGGGACTATTAGTAATAGTAGTTTCTCCGTTCTTCCTTTTTATTTTATCCATTATTATTGTCTTTTTTGCTTTTCCTCCTATTCACTCTATTAATTTCTTTGTTCCTTATCATCATTTTCTTTTTCTACTTCTTTTTCTTTTCTTTATTCTATTCATTATTATTATTAGTAGTAGTAGTAGTAGTAGTTTCTTCCTTATCATCGTTTTCTTCTTCCTTTTTATTTTATCCATTATTGTTATTATTAGTTACTTTCTTCCTGATCATCATCATCATCTTTTTACTTCTTTCTTTCTTTCTTTCTTTCTTTCTTTCTTTCTTCTTGTTCTTCTTTATTTTATAAATTATTATTATTAATTTTTTTGGTCATCATTATCATTTTGTTCTTTTTCTTCTTTTTCTTTTTCTTTTTCCTCTTCTTCTTTATTTTAACCATTATTATTATTATTAATTTCTTTCTTCGTTATTATCATTTTCTTCTTTTCCTTTTTCTTCTTCTTTTTTTATTTTTTCTTCTTGTTTATTTTGTCCATCATTATTATAATAGTTTCTTTCTTTACCATGATCATTTTTTTCTTTCTTCTTTTTCTTTTTCTTCCTCGTCTTCTTCTCGTTCTTGTTCTTCTCCTTCATTTTATCCTGTAGTTTATTAGTTTCTTTCTTCGTTATCAGCATTTCCTATTATGGTGTTTTCTCTTTATTTTTCATCATCATCATCATCATCACTGCATCATCATCATCATAATCACTGCATCACTGCGTCATCATCATCGTCGTCATCATCATCATCACTGCATCACTGCATCATCATCATCATCATCACTGCATCACTGTCTCATCATCATCATCGTCATCGTCATCACTGCATCACTGCATCATCATCATTGTCATCGTCATCATCATCACTGCATCATCATCATCATCATCATCATCGTCGTCATCACTGTAACATTTAACGGAAGAGTGCGATGGAAATTCCCCACTTCAACGATGTTAAACATATTTCGACAGCATGTCAGTTGTCTTCAAGTTATGTTTAAAAATTGCATTTTTTAATCACAATTTGATGAAGACAGACATACCGTCGAAATATTGATAAGTATTGTCAAACACTGGGTTTTTTTCATTTCTTTTTTCCTTAAATCTCGCTCATCTCTAAGTTTTGCAATATATTGGAAGACATGTCAATCATTTTGTTTATTATTATTATTATTATTCATTTTTCTTCAGTGCCTTCAGTTTTTACAATTATGGTACTTATTCTTCTTTTCTTCTGTATTTTTTCCATCATCATTATTATTATTATTATTATTATTTTTGTTGGAGACACGGTGATTAACGGCTCGATTTGAGGAATTATGGAGTCGATTTCGATTTCCAGTCGAGTTCATTGCATTCACTTACGTGTTTAGGAAAGATATGAATCCCCCTAGCTATGGATAAAATAGTAAGACAGATTGGGTCTTATAGCCCTGGATGGCAACCAGTCTAGGAGAAGGAAAACTCTGAATTCAAAACACCTGCTTTGTGGACCCTGCCTCTTTAGGCAAAGTCTAGAAAAAGGTAACCTCAAAAACAAATCTACCTCTGTAACCACTTGCGTCTTAGTGGCTTTACCGCCTTTCTTAGAGTGAATTGAGTAAAACAATTAGAAAAATTAATGATTCTGGATTGACATGTTTTGGTTGTTTACAGCTTTTTATTGCACGTTTACATGCACGTAAAACCAGTAAAGCCAGTATATATATATATATATATATATATATATATATATATATATATATATATATATCAAATATGTGGTGCAGTTCAATTTACATTACATGAATCATTCATACAAAAACAGATATAGAAGTTAATGATTTAAATGGCGAGAATACATCTTCGCAAACAAATTTGATAAAGTACATTAACCCCGAACCTGTATATGAATGTTATGATCCCAGTTTATAAATTCTAGTTGCATAAGGTCTTTTTTAGTTTTTTTACAAGCTTTCCTCTGTTCCTACATACATCATCAGGTATGGAAATAGATTTGTTTTTTACTTCTCAGGTAATAACAGGACAACGAAAATATAGATGTAATCCGAAAAAAAAAAAAAAATGTTTTTAGAAATGTGTTATTGTTAATTGTAAGAAATCTTTTTGGAGCGTGCGGTTGCAACGCTGAGGTTGAATTTTTTTAAATTTTAAGATTGTGCGTTTTTGTACTAATATGGTAATAGGAGAATTCTTTTGTACTGCTAGGTTTTTCAGTCAATGTGGCATGAACTAAATTGTTCAATAAATACAGGAATGTCACAGTTATTATCCGAAAGTTGCACGTCGGATCAGTTATTTTAATATCAAGTATGTGGTGCAGTTCAAACTTACTAAGAGCTACAAATGGTAGGGAATGATGCATGTGAGCTATGATCAACCAAGTCCTGCCCGGATACGGTGCATACAAGAAGAAGAGCTATCTTGTGTAAATGGTTGGTAGAACAGGAATTAGGAGAGATAGCAGAAAAAACAAATATTACGCTAAAAATGATAGAGTATAAAAGACTCCTGTAACATAACTTTTGAAATTATTCGAATGCTCATTCTCATCTTTGATATCAAACTTATTATTAACAAAACATTTCAGTCAGATATCAGTAGTCCTCTTCAGATATCGACTACTGAAACTCCTGTTTTTTTTATTGTTAGCAAGTTTGTTCTAGACACTTAGTTCCCGAAAAGACACGGCACATTGAAGAAGAAGAAGAAGAAGAAGGAGGAGGAGGAGGAGGAAGAGGAGGAGGAGGACGCTGCATAAGAATTCTAAGCAAATGGACTGGAATCTGAATTTTGAAATTCGAAAAAAAAATGCCAGGAAGCTGTAGAGAACCATATTCTAACCGAACGTGGCACACAACAAGGGAGAAAGAGAGAGAGAGAGAGAGAGAGAGAGAGAATAAGAGGGAGTGGTCATGAGAAAGATTATGAAAAATTCAGATCGACGAACCACCTATTGTCATGGAGTCTAAGAGCGGCTCGCATACGTTGCGTTGTTCCCAGTAGACACTCAGGTCCCGAAAAGACACGACACAAAGAAGAAGAAGAAGAAGAAGGAGTAGGAGGAGTTAAAAGAAGAAAGAGGAGGAGGAAGAAGAATAAGGAGGAGGAACAAGAGGAAGAAGAAAGAGGAGGACGACGACGATGAAGAAGAGGAAGGAGGAGACGGCTGCATAAAATTCTAAGCAAATGGACTGAAACCACATTCGCAAAGTTAGATATTAAAGGAGCAAATATTGTTGAAATTAGAAAAATGGCAGAAAACTGTAGCGAACGATAATCAACCACATTCTAACCGAAGGTAGTACACAACAAGAGAGAGAGAGAGAGAGAATAAGAGGGAGTGGTCATAAGAAAGATTATGAAAAATTCAGATCGACGAATCACCTACTGTCATGGAGTCTAAGAGCGCCTCGCATATGTTGCGTTGTTCTCAGGCTAATTTTTATCAATTCAGTTCACGTGTGTGATGCGCCCTTTGCTATGATATTTTAGAATTTACTTTTCAGTTAATTAATGTCGTTGCCCTTTTACATTTCTGCATGCTGACAGGCGGGTTGATGTCTTTTTGCTGTTTTATTTGAGAAGAAAAGAATTTGTGATGTGCTTTGGGTTTGATGTACTTGCGATATTGAGGTTGGATGTCATATTTGCCAAAGCATTGTTTTGTTTGTAAGAGAAAAATAATAAGAGTCACTTCTTTTCAAAACCCGTTATCATTTAAGTACAGCAAACAGTGCACAGATCTCAAACGCTATTCTCAGTTGGTATCCATATTTGTTTATATCGTACATTATCTATCTATCTCAGTTTGTTCATATCTATCTATCTATCTATCTCAGTTTGTTCATCTATCTATCTAAATCTGTTCTTTATCTATATATCTATCCCAGTTTGTTCATATCTATCTATCTATCTATGTTAGTCTTTTCATCTATCTACAGGGTGCCATGGGGGAGATTGTTGTCATTTTATATTTTTAATTTCGCGCATGACGCAATTCACTCCGCCAGAAATTTGGAATCGGCATACTGTACTGCTTGGCATTGGCGCCAGAAGCTCCAATATGAACATTTCACAGTGTTTGGATGTCAATCTGAGGACAGTTCAAAGGATTCGGAAAGAGTTAGATGAGTCTAATGGTGATTACGAAGGAGTTTGCAGTGATCACTAATGATGGCGGCATTATGCTTCCATTCATATTCCTACAGGGCCTCAGACCCTACACAGAGGCCTACATAAAGAGTCTTGAGGAGGTAGTGTTGCCATGGATCAAGAAGGTGGCTGCTGAAAGACCTTATGTCTGGCAACAGGACTCTGCACCATGCCACACCAGGAGGAGAACGTAGCGATGGCTGTCAGACAATTTCTGCAATCACATCAACCCTTAATTTTGGCCACGTAACTCCCCAGACTGAAACCCTCTTGATTATTATGTGTGGGGCGCAGTTGAGCGAGAGACCAACCAAACTTCTTGCAATGGCAAACATTAACCGAAGGCAAGAAGGTCACCCAGAAGATTTTCAGGATGATTTCGATGTCGTCTGAAGTCCGGAGTCAAGCCCATTGGCGATATTATGAAATAAATATGCTCTTTAGTATTTCAAGATATTTTTGTGTAAGTTTCGTAAATATATATAGTGACGTTATCCTCATTTGTAAAACTGTTTTCTCTTGTTTCCAGTTTATATTTTCTTTTATAAATGAGGATCACGTCAATCTATGGATTAACAGTATTTTAATGCATACATTATACACTACTAGTGATGGATGTCGCCAATAATAGCATTAATATATATATATATATATATATATATATAATGAAGATAATAAAGAAGAAAACCTTAAATATTCAATTCGGTTCTAATTTATTTCGTGAATACCGAAATATTCATCTCTTCAGACCAAAATCTTTTAGTAAATAGAGACAATACACCGGAGTTTCATATCCTCTCACATATCTTCCCTCTTACTTTCCCTTCCCCCTATCTAATTCATTAGTTCGGTGTATTGTGTCAATTTACTAAAAGATTTCGATCTGAAGAGATGAATATTCCGGCATCACGAAATAATTTAGAACCGAATTGAATATTTAAGGTTTTCTTCTTTATTATCTTCATTAATATTACAATACTCTGTAGCCTACATTGAACTCTCCCTGGATTAATATCCTGCTTGGAATTATCCCTATCAGTCACATATATATATATATATATATATATATATATATATATATATATATATATATATATATATATATATGAATATTTCACTGAATACGACACAAAAGGATCTTTGATTTATTTTTATACAATTTC